CATGCAGACTCCCCACTGAGTGTGGAACCCAACGCAGGGCTCAGTCTCACAACTCATGAGATCATGACCTGGGCCAAAACCAAGAGTTGGATGTTTAACCAACTGAGCCATTCAGGTGCCCCTTTAAGATTTTAATTTTAAGTAACCTCTACTCCCAGCATAGGGCTTGAAGTCACAACCCTAAGATCAAGAGTCACATGCTCTACAAACTGAGTCAGGCAAGTGCCCCCTATATTTATTCTTACTGAAATGGAAAGATCATGTGCTGTGACTAAAATAACTTCCGTCTTCTCTTCATGGAGTTACATGTAGAGAAAACAGTATCACGTGTTACGGAAATAAAATATCATATAGTGGGACAATGTATGTTTACATGTTATTAATCTAAAATTATGATTGCAGGGGCACCTGGGAGGCTCAGCCAGCTGAGGGTCTGACTCTTGATCTTGACTCAGGTTGTGATCTCTGGGTCGTGGGATCAAGCTCCACATCAGGCTCCAAGCTCAGCATGGAGTCTGCTTGTCCCTTTCCCTCTTCCTCTGCCCCTCCACTCACTCCCTGCCCCTATATAAAATAAATAAATAAAATCTTTAACTATATATAAATAAATAAAATATAAATATGATTGCAGTACATATGCATACAGGCATCTTAAAAGAGATTTACTGGGCACCTGGGTGGCTCAGTCGATTAAGTGTCCGCCTCCTGATTTCTGGTCAGGTCATGATCTCAGGGTTGTGAGATCAAATCCCACAAGGGGCTCCGGCTGGGCACAGAGCCTGCTTAGGATTCTCTCTCTCCCTCTCTCTCTTTCTCTCTGCCCTCCCCCAACCCTCTTAAAAAAAAAAAGAACTTTCCCAAAATATTAAGCATTGCAACCTCTGAATTAATATGATTTTTTTGCCCTTTATGCTTTTGCGTAACTGCTTGACCACTCTACGTGAGTATGTGATTTTTTTTAATAAATGGAAGAAACAAAGCTATATTCTTAGGGGGAAAAACACTGACTTATTCTTCTGTCTGTTTTAGGAAGAACAATCATAGATCATCACAATCTGAATTTTATGACCCAATTATCTTTATCCCAGAGCTCTATCCTAGGGTAACAGCTCTATTCTTCTTGACACATAACCTTTTAAATTTTTTTTTAGATTTTATTTATTTATTCGTGAGAGACACATAGAAAGGTGCAGAGACACAGGCAGAGAGAGAAGTAGACTCCTCAAGGGGAGCCTGATGCAGGACCTGATCCCAGGACCCCAGGATCACCACCCAAGCCAAAGGCAGATGCTCAACCACTGAGCCACCCAGGTGTCCCTTGACATAGAACCTTTGCTGAAGCAATAGCTGAATACATGGAGAGCCATTTCCAAGGTCATGCTCATAGAGGCACTAGTCATGAGCAAAGAGCCTGAAGACAAAGGGCTACCCACTTCCTTCACAATCTTGCCAATATTGATAGGTTGCTTAGGAAAACCTGTTTTATAGATGCTTCAAAGCTCTTGTCCCAATTACCCCTCCCAAAACTTTAAATTAGTGGAGCAAAAAAGAACCATGTGTCCAAATTTTACTACACTCAACAGGGCCTTGGGAAGCGAGAGGCAAGAGTGAAGTGTGGGCGGCATGCTCCTCCACTCCCCAAGAAAAACAACAGTGCCTTAGTCAAGGCCGCTAGCATTTAAGGGAAGGGTGCTTTGCTTTAACCATCTTCCAATTCGGAATCTTTGGCCTCTCTTTCCTTCCTAGGAACTGGAGCAGTAGCGAGGGCCTGAAGCCATCACCCACCACCATGAGAGACCTAAGCAGGTGTTAGGGGAATCCCACAGGGAAAGTAATCAAGAAGCCACTGGTTATGAGCAGAGCTCTGGAGAGGCGGAGAATAAGGACTCCCCAGTGCACTCTTCCTTAGGTTCATCTTTCCCTGTTCCCTCCTTCTTTCAAAGCAGTAAAACATGACACTTTGGAATAAAACCCAGCTAAAACAAAGGATCGGGATTTGGGGAACAGAATCCCATATGGAGAGAGCACTGGAGAAACCTCAGGACAGCTGCAAGCCCATTGAGCAATACCCCACACAGAGCCAGCGGAACCTCAGTGGGACCACACATCGTGTCGGAGTCTACAGCAGGCTGCTCCAGGACCTGAAAGAACTGGGCAGCTGAGAAGCTTGTGAGCCAAGGCTCACATGGAAAACAGGTTCCTGACCTGGGAGGCCAACAGGCCGGTCTTGGCAGGGATAGGGATTCACACCTAGGAATGAAAGTGTTTACTTCACCACAGGCAGATCTATGTGAAGCAGGCTCTCAGTAGAAGGTTCCAGAAACTGATGAATGGCAAGGCATTCACTGCCTCTAGGTCCTCTTTTTTTTTCCCCCTTCCCATTTCCCCATATCCTAGTCAAGGCTGAAATACTGTTACATTTCCCTAGAAGAAATGGCATCAGGCCCCTGATGCAGGAAATGAGCTGACGAAAAAGAAGGTTGTAGCTGCCATCTGAGTCGAGATGGATTCCCAAGACTTGGGGAATTCAAAGGCATTTTGCAGTTTTCTTTCTTTCTTTCTTTCTTTCTTTCTTTCTTTCTTTCTTTCTTTCTTTCTTTCTTTCTTTCTTTCTTTCTTTCTTTTTCTATTTTTTTTTCTTTTTTTTTTTTTTAATTTTGCAGTTTTCAGCAGACATGGTACGGCCATGCTCCTTGGAGCCACACTGGTAGGGAGATGACAGTCCCAGGCCTAGTCCCACATCAGTTCCCTTTCTCCCCACCCACCCTCACACTGCAAGTGCCACAGAGCTTCTTCATCTGCAAAATTTCCATGATCCCCAGAATTTGTTTGGGGACAGCCCTGGGGGCCGGGACATCTGCCCCTAAAACTCATTCCTCATCTCTCGTTGGTGACATCCAAAGAGGCCTACGTGCAACCAGCTCCTGAATTTGGCTTGAACTCTGCAAAGTACAATCCACACCCAGTTGCAGGAGTGCTTGGAATTCATGGAACTAGGACTCATATCCTGTGGTTCCAGACAAACACTGGATAACTGCTGATACCCCAAAACTTGCTAAAGCCTCTGCCCCAGCTAAAAAGTCCACTGATGTTTCTGTGGCAACTGTAATGCTGATAGAAACTCAGTATCATTGAGAAAAGTCCATCAGCTTTTACAAAGTGATAACTGGAAACCTCAAAAGGAAAGGTCATGAGGATGATTGACAACAGATGTTGGGGCTTCTTTTGAGGTGACGGAGATATTCTAAAATTAGATAGTGGTGATTATTCCACAACTTTGTGTATACTATAAACCACTGAATTGTATACCTTCAAAGAGTGAATTTGATGGTATGTGAATTATATCTCATTAAAAAAAGTCACTAAATAATTACAAGAAGTAGAAGAAATAGAAGCAGAGCCAAGATTAGGATTTTGTTCCAGGAAGACTGGTTCTTACTAGGCTGACATCTATTTGGCTCTTGCATAAAATATTTCTCACTTCTCCTCCTTCTCATTTTTTTAAAGTAAAACACATCCTTGGGAACTAGAGTGATATACGCAGTTATAGAAGTTTTTCCCAGCAGACTCTCATAGCCTCTGAAAACACAATTTCGGGTATCATGTCCTCCGGAAAGTTCCCTGATCCCTTCCCAGCTTCCAAGATAAGAGTCCCTATGGATTCCAGGTGCCCTAAGTGGCCTTTGCTTTATACTTTATACTGAAATTAGCTGTCTGCCATCACCTCCCACTGGCACAGCCTTGGCACACAGTAGGTACAGGAGAAATGTGTATTGAATGAACACCATCTCATCATCTTGTAAGGGTTTTTTAAAAAATTGGTATGTTATTTTTTTTAACACATCTAATTTAATTCTGCAGCACCACACTTCCGCAACCATACGACAGGCAATTTGCTGCCTAAAACAACAGTATATCATAACATGTTTTCTCTGAGGCAATGCAGTTCATTCATGCCAAAAATAAATCAAACGTACCCCCTGCAGGATTTTTACCTCAGTACAGGTCAAGAGGGAGAATGAATCAGAGCATCAGAATCTGTGCCTCCTTGCGGGTAAGGAGATAAAACATGTTCTCTTCCTTCCTTTTCCCCGAAAACCTTTAAATATCACAAAGCTTTTAAGCAGAGTCATTAAGTCTATGCAAAACCATCGTAGAACCAGGAGTCTTTTCCTGCCTTTCCTCTACTTTATTGTTTATAGGTTTTTCTTAGAAAACCAAAGAGCTATAATGTCATGACGTGCTGTAACATAGAATTCAGCCAATAGTTGCAGGACCCACTGAAAATTAGGATGCGCCCACCCACTGTATTCAACTACCACATGCCCAAAGCTTCAAAGCTACTGAGATCCAAAACAATGCACCCCTCACCCAGCTCATTCCTCTGAGAGGAAGTCCCATCTCTAACAGGGCACCTCGCTGTTAGAGACGTCTCGGGAGCCGTCATCAACATGTCCACACCCTGGGTCCTAGTGGACAGTGTGCAGTGGTGGGTGCCAGAGCCACCCCAAGAACACCCCGCCTGGGGTTATAGAAACCTGCAGCTGGCACATCATCTCTGAGAGTCCCTCCTTGTTTGGTAGAAAAACGTTCAAACACACAGAATATTCTAGAGAAAGAATATTACAGTGACCTCGCATCATAGACCGCCCCCCCCCAAGATTCAACAACTGTTCAGTTTGTCATTTAAGGTATCTTCTAGATCACAGTAACACTAGGTACTTCATAATACCCCTAGATACTCCAGCATGCATCTCTGGAAATAAGAATATTACGCCCAATATCACGATGCTGTTACGCCGGCGAACAAAGCTGACAATAATTTCCTCTTACTAACTAACACTCAGACCACGTGCAAATTTTCCTCTAGGCCTTCTCAAAGGAGAGTCCCTCCCTTTGATCACACCCTGTCCTGGCCCTGCCTTCTCCCTCCTCCACATGCCAGACACTGTCCTGCCATCACCGCAGCCGCCCCCGCCCCGCCACCCCCCCTTGAGTACCTGTGCAAAAGGTGCCATCATTGGGAATGAATGTTTTGTTGTTGTTCGTGGCTCGATATCCTTCGAGGCAAATGCAGTAAAAGCCCCCGAGTGTGTTGTGGCAAGAGGTGTGGTTTCCACAGACCACAGTGGCTCCAAACTGGCACTCATTTTTATCTGTTGATACATTGAGACAAGGCAAGGAAAGAGCTATCAATCCATACCATGTTCAACAACCCAGACTGTTCTCCTGTGCTACAGACTCAGGAGTTGCCATTCTGTGACAACATCCCCATGGTCTATTTGGCCAGCCTCTGCTTGGGGTGCTTCTCAGACTACAAGGCACAGGCCCCTTGTGGTCATGGGCTAGGTGTATCTATAACCCCGAGAGAGGGGGGGCCTGGGGCTCAGTCGGTTAAGCAGGTGGCTCTTGACTTCAACTCAGGTCGTGATCTCAGAGCAGAGTCTGCTTGTGATTCTCTCCCTCCCTCTCCCTCTGCCACCCCTTGCCCCATCGGAGCATGTTCTCTCTCTGTCTCTCTCTGTCTCTCAATAAATAAAATCGTAAAAACAAAACCACAGGAGAAACCCAACATCTTGATCTGAACATTCTTCTTATTTGAGGACTGGGAGAAGGGGATCCTTTTTCAATGTCTCCATACTCAAGAAGCCCTTGTCAGAGAAACAAATCCAGCAGCATCCCATTTTTTCCAGCTCAGTGAGCCACTCTCTTGCTCCCTTCATAAAAGGCAGAGGAGGATGATTTTTGCATCCAGTGATTAACCGGAAAATTTGTTACTTCTGAGTTACCAGGAAACACAATGGAATTAGTGCTTAAGCCTCATCCGGGAGCAGAGCTAATATTGTGGCAGGAACAGCTCCTGCTAATCGTCAATGACCCATGTGAATAATATTAGTCACCCAGGGAGAAGGAGCTGAAGTATAGGACACTGGATGAGTCCACACAAGCCTGCCCTGGGTATTTTTAATTCAGCCACTTGTCACGATGTCAGATGAAAGTAAATCTCTCTCCTGTCTCTGTCCTGTAGCCCAGGGGTTCGAAAACTTTTTCTGTGAAGGGCCAGCCATAGGTGCCTGGTTGCAACTGCTCACCCATGCAGCCACAGACAATAAGCAAACAAATGAGCAACGTTGCGTTCTAATAAAATTCTGTTTACAAAAACAGGCAGCGGCCAAATTTGGCCTGCAGGCCAGACTTTGCTGACTGTGCCCTGGCTGCTACCATCAGAAGAACTTCTGTGGCCAATTTCTTATGCATTCTTTCAGGGCCAAACTATCCTGCTAGTTGGATTGGGTTGGTTTGGTTTTGGTTTGGTTTGGTTTGGTTTGGTTGGTTTGGTTTGGTTTGGTTTGGTTTGGTTTGGCTTGGCTTGGCTTGGCTTGGCTTGGTTTGGCTTGGCTTGGCTTGGCTTGGCTTGGTTTGGTTTGGTTTGGTTTGGCGAGGGAGCAGTGCCATCAATTGATGAACCAGAGTTTTTCCTGATTGTTATTTCGTGTTTTACGACAGCACTGGCTCCCTTGGAGCACGTCAATGGCCTCTCACAATTGCACTTGTTTCCTGCCAACTCAAAAGTACCCTTTCCAAAATCCAGTGTTCCTTTCTTTTTTTTTCCCCATTTTCCTTACAGGTAATATATTTTTTGAAAATGTACCTGAACGTGGAGCACAGTCCATTTGCTAACACCATCTACGGTGAGATCTGCATGGGGGACCAGAGAAACAACCCTCAGGCCTGGGTCTGGCCATGTGTCCAGCCCAGCCCAGGAGCCCTGCATTGGTGGCCACGTCCTGCCACCCATAAAAAGGCCCATTCCTGTCCTTTGCTATTGTTTCTGAGATGGGTCTCCCCCACAGACTTTACCAGAAGGGACAGTGGGTTTGGGGAAAATCCTAAACTTCTGAGGTCCCTGGCCTGGATGCCACATTAGGGCACGTCTGGCACATGCATCCTGTGGCCTGGTCTCAGCAGGCCAAGTGCTGGGATGTGCCACATCTAGTATCTGAGAGCAAGGTCCACATAAGTTAATAAGGTCTTCCTCCCAAGAATAGAAGTTTCTATTGGCAAGCCAAAGAGCAATCCATAGTTCGGGGAGCTTCCATGGGAAGGGAGCTGCACTCGGTGAGGGAGCACAAAAGGCTTGTCTGCTCCAGTCCAACCTCATTTCCAAGCCCCTGCTAGCAAGCCGTGGGGGGTAAGGGGGACAAGGGGGCCAGAAATGCCTCAGGGGCCTCAGGCTGCCAGGCAGCCACAAGTCTCAGGGGCAAAGTCCTGAAGAAAGAAGGTCAAGGGTGACCCAAGTCCGGTCCGCAGGAACGGGCAGTGGTATGTGACTGAGAGCCTGACTCTGTGAAGTTGAAATATGATTTTGGGAACTTGGAATTATTTGGGTTTCTTTTTTAAGATTTTATTTATTGATTCATAAGAAACACACAGAGAGGCAGAGACACAAGTAGAGGGAGAAGCAGGATCCCCTCGGGGAGCCCAATGCCAGACTCGATCCCAGGACCCTGGGGTCACAACCTGAACCGAAGGCAGATGCTCAACCACTGAGCCACCCAGGGGTCCCAGGAATTTAGAATTGTTATTTTTTCTTTAGGAAGAAAAGAACCCAAAGATACCACAAGGTTGTGTACCGTGTGCCAGTGCACAACCCCAAGGCAGACTATCAACTGTGCCCTGCACATCACAAGGCTGCTGGGAGAAAACTGCTTCTCCTAGCATTCACTGTTACAACCGGGCTGTGAGATTCTCCTTCTCTCTGAATTGGGCTTGAACTGGATACTGGGCGACCCTCAGGGCACGGGGGAGGCTTTGAAGCAAAAAACACCTTGGAGAGTTCCTGGTAGTCTTTGTATTTCTTTAAGCCACCCAAGATCCCAAAAGGCTACAACTCCAAAAAAATGGAGGATGGACTATGATAGGCCTAGAATCCAAAGCAACAGTATTTCACCAGTTAGCCAAAAAAGTCCAACAGGCAATTGTGTTTTCTTTTTCCTCCAGGCACTAATACAAATCATCTTGCATCAAAACCACCAGGAGAAATTAAGAAGCCAAAATTCACTCAAGTTGTTAAATTAGACTCAAGACTCTGAAACAGATTCCAAATTTGTGTGAGGTCAGAGAGTTTTCCATAGATTCAAGTTCAGTGACCCTCTAACAGGAAAAATACTTGCCTGGAAACATTAAAGAAAGGCTATATTCAAACCCTGAAACAAAGGCATGGACAAACCCTCTTGTAACAAAAGCATGTGAACCAAACAAAACGTCTTCCCCACAAGGTCATTAGCTCTTTAACATTAGGGCATCTTGTTACTGACTCACCTTTCCAATTCACCCAGGATTCAGAACTTACCAACACAGTGAGTCCTCCCGTTGCCCACAAATCCATATTTGCAAACACACATCTTCATGCCTTCCATCTGCTTGCAGGTAGCATGTTCATGGCAAGTGGCACAGACATCTATACCAGAAGCATACATCGTGTATTACAGGAAAAGAAAAATTCAATCACCTCCTCTGGACAAGTCACATTTTGGGTAGTGGACATTTAAAATGGAAAACCAAAATTTGAATAGCAGAATTATAAAAGGTAGATCTGATCCCATCCTTCGAAACCTGCAATGGCTGCTCATTTTCCACAGAGTAAAGGGCAAATGCCTCTACCTGGCAGTCAAAGCTCTGACCATTTCGACTCTAAGCTCATCTCTCCAAGCCTCACTGTTCCCAAACCCAAACCACACATAATATTCTCTATGCAGGAGGCTGACGACTCTTTCCCACATATGTTATCCGATCCTACTTCATGCCATACTTACCATGTTCCCGCCAAGCAGAATGCCTATCCCTCCTCTCCTGTCCAGCTAGCACCCATTCCTACTTTTTTTTTCCATTCCTACTTTTAGACTCACCTTGAATATCACATTCTCTCTGGTATCTTCCCCATTCCTCTATTCTCGTGGAATATTAAATGCATCTACCTCTATGCTCCACTAACACCTGCACATTCCCACATCAACCACGTTAATGTGTCATTATATACTGTTCCAGCTCTGCCTTCCAAGCTGCGGAGCATGAATGAGCTTCTCCTCCAGGACATGGACTATTATGTCATCCGCCCATATGTCATCCCAGTGCAGTAGAAACATTCAATAGACTTTTACTGACCGACTGGATAAAGGAACTTGCAATCCTACTTGCTACAACTCAAAAAGCAAGTGGAAGGGAGAAGAACCCATCTGTCTATTACCCTATCCAGTTTGCTTGGGGGAAAAAACTTAATGTGCTTAAGATGTCAGTGAGAGGAACAGCTGGGTCCCCAGCCAGGTGACCAGATCCTAATCACATAGACAGGCAGCAAAAAGGCATGAGGCTGACACACACGAACCTACTAGATGGTGATTGATACATGGCCCAAGGTCAAACAAGAATTTCTACCTGAGGCCATGTGAGATATCATGCTGTCCTTTTGGGGTCTGTAATTTCAGGAGTGGCCTCGTCAGGAGAGTCAGCACGGAATTCCATCTTAGTCTAGGCCCCACTACCACCCAGGTAATAAAGACTTAGCCCTCAGGGTTGCTCTAGGCAACTGACGCAGGGAGATTTCCAGATACAGACCCCCCCTGACTTACAATGGTTCAACTTACAATCTTTCAACTTTACAGGGGTACAAAGGCAATACACGTTCAGTAGAAAGCGTACTTCAAATTTTTAATTTTGTTCTTTCCTCCAGGCTAGGGATATGCAGTGTGATCCTCTCTCATGGCAGCCAGCCGCAGCTCCGGCCAGCCATGCCATCAGGGCAAACAACCGATAAAGTCACAACCGGTTTGCACCTACACGACCATTCTGTTTATGGCTTTTAGTATAGTGCTCGGTACATGACATGAGATAGTCAATACTTTATTATAAAATAGGCTGGAAAAAAATAAAATAGGCTGGGTGTGAGACGATGTTTGCCCAACTGTAGGTGAACAGAAGTGTCTTATGCACATTTACAGTAGGCTAGGCTAAGCTACAATGGTTGATAGGTTAGAAGTATTAAATGCATTTTTGACTTAGGAGATTTCCAAGTTCTGATGTAACCGGATCAGTAAATTCAGAGGATCAGTACTGATCATTAACCACGCCTGCTTTTTCTTTTAAAACAAATTATGACACAGAAATAAGACAAACCACTGCTTTATCACTAAGTAATACAAAATTAACCATGGAATATTCACAAATTTTAATATATCCCAAAGCATTAAAAAAAATGCAACGGGGATCCCTGGGTGGCGCAGCGGTTTGGTGCCTGCCTTTGGCCCAGGGCGCGATCCTGGAGACCCGGGATCGAATCCCACATCGGGCTCCCGGTGCATGGAGCCTGCTTCTCCCTCTGCCTGTGTCTCTGCCTCTCTCTCTCTCTGTGACTATCATAAATAAATAAATAAAAATTTTAAAAAATGCAACGAAGTGCAAAAAAAGTAGAAATTGTAGAAGCCGTACTATAGGACTACCTCGTAATAATGTAGTAAGACTACAAAATAAAACACTAGACCCCAAAAGAAACCTACTTGGAAACTTCAGAACATGCTCCTAAATAATTCTTGGGACAAAGAGGATAGCAAAACTGAAATGTTTAAGGGAACCTGGCTGGCTCAGTCAGTAGAGCGTGCAACTCTTGATCTCAGGGTTGTGAGTTTTAGCCCCATGTTGGGTGTGGAGATTACTTAAATAAATACATTTTAAAAAAAAAATTGAAGTATTTAATACTAGATACAAAGATGTATCTACTCCAGCAAATTTGAGTTTTTCATGTTTTTGTACTTTAAAAGATCGAGTTAAACACTGCAGATTTAGCAAACTCTCAAAGCTCCTCCTCCCCCAAATGGGATCAAAGGCCAGAAAGGTATAAACCCTGGCAGACAAGAGGAGAGCAGATGAGGATGTCAACAATATTTCAGAAGATGGAAGAGATGGACATAGGCGAATGGCCTGAGAGGAACTAAAAGGCCGTCCCAAAGGCTCAGGAATTGGGGCTACTGAGTGCTGCAGAAGGCAGGTATAAGGGACAGGACTCAGAGTTCAAGGAAGCAGGTACAAATATGGGTAAGAAGTAGGTGGACACCCAGTTCTCCTCGCTAGCCCTGGCAAAAGATAGAATTTACAACCTGGAGGAAAGACTAGAGAGGCTCTTGCCTGGGGGCAACAGGCAAGTGAGAATGGGTCCCTGCACCTAAACGTCCATCAGGGTGGAGTAAATTTAACACACAACATTTTTAAATGGCGCCATAGGACATTGTCTATTCATAATCACATGCACCCAAAATCCTGGAAGTACCTTTTAAATATTGGATCCTGGGTCAAGCCCCTAAATCCAGTATCGATCGACCAGATAACAATGAACACTCTCCCTAGTGTGTGTGCATAGTGCAATAACAAAAAATAAATACCATAGTAATGAAAACAACAAAATGGTAAAATGTTTAATTTTTTTCTTATATGGAATATTTGGGTTTTTTAAAAAATTACTTTAAATTTTTATTTATTTATGATAGTCACAGAGAGAGAGAGAGAGAGAGAGGCAGAGACATAGGCAGAGGGAGAAGCAGGCTCCATGCACCGGGAGCCCGATGTGGGATTTGATCCCGGGTCTCCAGGATCGTGCCCTGGGCCAAAGGCAGGCGCCAAACTGCTGCGCCACCCAGGGATCCCGGAATATTTGTTTTTATAAAGAGGGCAGCATTTATGTCCCTACAGTTCCAGAAACTTACATCAGATGGGAAAAAAGGATTATTTCATTCAACTGTTGGGTGAATCTAATAAACACACACAAATAAACACACACAAGAAATAAAGTCATGCCACCCACTCAGGTAGATTAACAGAAGTCCAGTCTGAATTAGTGAAGGACAGAATGTAAAGTTGTTGTTGTTTTTTTTAAATAAATCAAATTAAGTCCAAGTTCATTCAATAAACAGAACCAAACCAAATAAGGCCTTGTAGGAAGGCAGCCAGATACAGGGGGAAAGCATACCCTGGAGCTGAGTATCAGAACTAGATCCTAAATCTAGCTGAGTCTCAATCACTGGAGGACCCTTAACAAATCACTGAACCTCTCTGGATCCCAGTTTTTTCATCTATAAAACAAGGGCCTTGGGCTTCTCACGTTTTAAAGGGCATTCAGGGGTGCCTGCGTGGCTCAGGTCATGATCTCAGGGCCCTGATCTCAGGGTCTCAGGAATCTGCTGGTCTCCCTCTCTCTGCCCCTCCCAACATATATTCTAAGATAAATAAATACATCTTTAAAAAAAATGCAAAGGGTATTCAAATCACCTGGGGATAGCACTAAACCACAGGCTCTGATGGTGGGGGGAGGGGGCACATTTTGCATTTCTAACAAGCTCCCAGGGGAACCACATTTTGAGCAGCAGGGATTAAGTGGCCTCCAAAGTCCTTGTCCCCTAATCAGCTGATACATCATCCTTAGGGTACCTGTTTTAATGACCCACTAAGAATTATTTAGCAAAGTGTAACCCCAAAAGGACAGTAGGCAGAGGGAGAAGCAGGCTCCATGCACCGGGACTTGCACATGCACTTGGCACATCTGGCTCAATAAATGTCTGTTCCCTACACTGGTGAAAAAGCCAACACGTCTCCCAGGCCACCAAAGGCTTCTGAGCCCACCTGCAGAAGGAAAGCCATTTCCAGAGGAAGAAGGGCCTCAACTAAAGCTTCTTATTCAGTCATAATTATTCTCGTCTGCAGGGCCTTATATGGCAGCTTCTGAGTTCTAATTGCTTGAGGGACTAAGTAGCTTCTTGCGGGGGGGGGGGGGGCGACACAAGTTATCCTAAGGGAAGTGGCAGGAAGCACAACCCTAATCCAAAAAGAGACAGGGCGGGGAGAGTCACTTCTGACTACACCCCTGTTTCCTCTGTTCATGAGCCCCTAGCTCAGTTAAGAATCACCTAGAGAGAGGGGGACCACCTCATCCTGGTTTTAATACTAAACGTCCTGTGACCCACTAAAGCCCTCACTATGGCACAAACAGAGCAGCTGGCCCCCCGACCTGGAGAGCTTGTTAAAACAGAATCCCCAGAGATTCTGATTCGGTAGGTGTGGGGTGAGGCCTGAGAATGTGCATTTCTAAGGAAGCTCCCAGGTGGACCCCACTTCTAGTAGCAGGGCAAGTCTAGTTCAACCTCAAGGGCTTGGGTCAGAATCCTGGCAAAAGACCAGGGAACAGTGAGGATGTTTGTCACCAAGTCTAGACTGATGCGTGGCTGGACCACGGTGACAGAGGTAAGAACCCAAGGAATGGAAATTCTCCGGGTGGATGGAATGACCCCTGCACCTTTGCTGTACAACCCATGGGTGGGGGCGCAGCTTCACATCTGGATCAAGGATGACTTTCTTTTGTCATCAGCAGACTGTTGAGAAGAGCAGAGAGGCGGCCGCCATGTAGTGACGGAGGGCACT